CTTTTATAAGAATTTTCATACAACTGATTTCTCAAATTCAGTCAAATTATGGAATTTAAGAAATGGCTTACTCTATCTGTCCTTTTGTACCCTGTGATATATGGAGACCTTGGCTCTTATCTGATATATCATCCCCTCCTTCTCACAATTTCTCTCAAATGTCTCTTACTGTACAAACTGTTACAAACAAACAAACAAACAAACAAACAAACAAACAAAGAAACAGGACAACCCAACCAACACTCTTCAGTTTCAACTGTAGGTGGCATGCCTTCCTGCTTCCCTTCATGGTTTTCATCCACAGCTTGTGAGGCCTCACTGGGCTGCGGTGGGTGGGGTTTTCCATCAGGATGAAAGAGCTCAGATTTTATTGGTGCTCAGTGGGTGAGGGAGAGCCTGCTGCTTGTTGGAACTAAGCTAGACATTGTCTGGAACTAGGGTGAAGGTGCCTCAGCAGTTTGACCAAAGGATCCATGGAGAGGAGCCTGGGAGCTGTGCTGGGGCTGCTGTGGGTACAGGTTTGCTGTGAGTTGTGGCTCTCCCAGATGGGTTAGGGGTGTTCCACAGCTGCAATTGGGAGGGGCAGAACACAGCTGACCCAAAGCTCCTCATGGCTGTCTCCCAGGATATATGACAGGGTAGAAACTTCAGAATGATTGCCCATCATATGGTTTGTTTTCCTTTCTCTGAGCAGGGGTCAGAGGGATGCAGGTGGAACAGAATCCTCCAGCCCTGACTCTTCAGGAGGGAGCCGGCTCTGCTATGAGATGCAATTTTTCTACCACCACGAGGAGTGTGCAGTGGTTCCGACAGAATCCCGGCGGCAGCCTCCTCAGTCTGTTCTTCATGACTCCAGGAACAAAGGAGAATGGGAGGTTAAAGTCAACATTTGACTCCAAGGAGAGCTACAGCACCCTGCACATCAGGGATGCCCAGCTGGAGGACTCAGGAACCTACCTCTGTGCTGCTGATGCACAGTGCTCCCAGCAAGTGTGCAGCCTGGCCCCAAACTGCAGCTGGGTGTGCAGCTACAGCCCTGCCCCAGGCAGACTCTGCAGGAGGCTTTGCACAGCTGTGGGGTTTCCAATTTATGCTGCATCTCTGTCCTCTCCACTAAGCTAGACAGTTCAGGATTGCTGTTTCCCGTCAGTGCACCCTTTCCTCACAGATTCCCGTTTTCAGGAAGAAGTTCTCATGAAGAGTACTGGGACAACTGACAAAGATGACAAGGTTCACAGTGCTGTCAGGTAGACCCACTGCACAGTGTTCACTGCTCTTCAATCATGGCTCTACAAAGGCATCAAACAGACATGCTGTTCAGCAAACAGAAAAAAATGATTACTCAATGTTTCAGTCAACTGCATATCTTTCAATTATTGGAAGAATAGAACTTTTATTTGTTTTTTTGAGAATTTCATACAATGCACTTTGATCATGTCCACCAGTTCCTACCAGTTCCACCCCTATTCCATACTTTCCAGCTCTTCTTTCTTTGTTTCTGGAAAAAACAAAACTTGGTAAGTGCTGTCCTTACCACTTAGATGTGTGGCCTTCACTGGAATGTGGTTGACCTACTGGGGCCAGGACCTTAAAAAAAATAGATTCTCCCTCTCTTAGTAGCTATCACATGCCAACATGTCCTTAGTTAGTGGTGGGACTCTCTGCCCATGCCCCCATGCTGGAATTTTGTGTAGCTTGAGCATGTGTAGGTCTTGTGTATGTTATTCCAGCTGCTTTGAGTTCATATAAATTAATTTTCTTTATAATTGAAAATTCAATGATAAAATACATCAATAAGGATTCTCAAATACATGCAAAATACATTGGTTTAAATGAAAATTGCCCCCATGGGCTCATATCTTTGCAGGCTTTGTCCTCATTTGATGAACTATTTGGAAAGCATTAGGAGGTGTGATCTTGTCGGAGGAGGTGTATCTGTGGAAGTGGGCTTTTAGGTTAAAAAGCTCACGCCAGGTCCAGTGTCTTTTTCTCCGCCTGCTGTCTACTGATCAGGATGGAAAAGCTCTCAGCTATTTCTTCAGGACCATGCTGGCCTGCTGCCATGCTCCCAGCCATGATGATAATAAACTAATCCTCTGAAACTTGAAGCAAGTCCTGAATTAAATTTCTTTTATAAGTTGCTTGGTCATGGTGTTTCTTTACACCAATAAACAGTAACTAGGATGCAAGTAATGTAGCCATTTTTACCTTATCAGATTTCCACAAGTTACAAAAAATGTCTGAGAACATAATTTTTCATTAATAAATGTTTATGTTTACAATAAAAGAAGACTTGCACAAAACTCATTTGTATGAGTAATTAAATCATTTCAGAAACAGTACTCCACTACAATCATCAAACCTAGATTTAATAAAGTCTGTGTTTTCAACTATTCATCAGCAATTTTTATTATTTTTTGAACTGTTTATACAATATGTATTGATTATATTCTTTCCCATCTTTCTTGTCCTCCCTTATCTCCCTACTTGCCTAACTCAATCAATGTTCTCTCAAATAATTCTCAAAAACAAGCTAACAAACAAACACCCGCCCCCAAAAAATCAAGAAGACAAAGCAACTTCCCTCCAAAAACAAAATCCCACTATAGCATAACAATTACAATAACAATAACAATAACAATAACAACAAAAGCATACACACAAAAATGTTTGTGTTGGTCAACTACTCCTGAACTTGAGGTCTGCCCTGGTACATGATTAAAATACCTATTGTCACTTCACTGGAGAAAACTGATTTTCCCTCTCTCAGCAGGTATCAATGGCAAAAGGTTTCTGGGTTAGAGATGGGACTTTGTGTCTATTCCCATCTCTGTGCTGACTTGGATTTGTTCAGGTTTTGTGTACACTGTTACAGTCTCTGTTAGGGTGTATTTGCATCAGCAATGTCTATTAGAGAATATTGTTCATAGACAAGTAGATGTAGTGTAGTGAATTCAGAGTGGTTATGGTAGTGCTGGCCTGTAATCTCAGCACTTGGAAAGCTGAAACAGGAGAATCATAAGTTAGAGGCCAGCCTTGATTTCATAGTAAGATTTATCTTCATTCAATGAGATGGAGTGTGTCAGCTCATCCAAAAGTAAGTGAAGGCCAAGAGGTAATGCAGAAATGGTTGTGTTGCACCCAAACTTGATGCTATGTCAATGTATTCTAACCTGGTCCAGCCTTTCTGCAATGCTCTCTGTAGAACTTGTGCTGTACATGCATCAGCTGTCATAGGCACCCAACTGTAGCAGGCTTTCTTTGCCCGCCAGCCTGCAAATCATGATAAGCAGACTTATTATTAATTATGAATGCTTGGCCTTAGCTTAGACTTGTTTCTAGCCAGCTTTTTAAAAAATGCTTATTAAACCATTTCTATTAAACT